AGATAGCTGGGGTCAGGTGGAGTTACCTCTTGCCTGATGAGCAAGAGGACTGCCCAAAAACAGTAAAGCATTTATTTATACCCTGGAGAGGTTGGTTAACTTTTTGTCTCGCTGCCCAGCAACCAGTTAACAAGTTACAAAGGCTTGTTTACTCCCAGGGGCTTGTTTACTCTGAGGGGCTCCGGTGTTCTCAGGCTGGCTTCATCCTGCACGTGTAATTATTTTCCAGCTTAAGCAGCTCCCAACACTACCTATCTATCCATTTTTTTTATATGAATAATGTGAGATCTAATAAATCAGGATACATTTTGCAATTTCAGAGACAGCTTTAGTTCTCGTAACTGGGTGGAAGTGCTAGTGACATTCCTCAGTGTGTCTATAGGTGCTGACTGTAGGGATGACTTACTCATTATGGTGAGCTGGTGCATGCACGTAGCACATCTTGATTAGTTTTTATTTCCTTCCCCACACTTCCTTCCTGTGACCCTCCATCTCTAGTTCCCCTTCTCACCTGCCAATAATTGATTTCCTTATTTCATATTATGTGTCTTTGACTTTGCCCTTCAAACTATTTCTATTTCAGGTTTATCATGTAAGACAAACCATGTGATATTATACTTGCATGTCTGTTTATGTCACTTAATATTATGATTTCATGGTGCATCCTTTTTCCTACAATGGACTCAGATTTCTTTCTTCTTCATGACTGAGTGTGTATAAGTGCCACATTACTCCACTGTGTGTAAATACATTGTCTTTACCCTTGTCATTGGACATAGAAGATGCTTCTAAGATTTAGCTATTATGAGTTGTGTTGCTATAACCATGGTAATAGCAACATGATGTCTTTAACTCTTTGAAGAAGATACCTAAAAGGGGAATAGCTGGGTCAGATGGAATCTATTTTTAGATTTTTGAGGAATTTCCATGTGGATTGTCATAGCATTTGTACTAGTTTACATCCCCACCAACAAGGTAGAAGAGGTCTTTGTCCCCTGCAACCTCACCAGCACTTGTTTTATTTGATTTATTGTTAATAGCTGTTCTTTCTGAAGTAAGATGGGATCATGGTGTTGTTTTTATTTGCATTTCTCACATGGGCAATGATTTTGGACATTTTTCCATGTATTTTCTGGCCATTTGTACTTCTCCTGAGTAGTGCCCATTTATTGCAGATGTCCATTTTTGACTGGATCTTTTATTCTGAGGGGTCTAATTTTTTGAGTTTTTAATATATTTTAGATACTAGTCCTCAGTTCAAGTAGTAGCTGCCCCAAATTTCCTATTAATTTTGTCTCTTCTCTCAGTTAGTTGTTTCTTTTGCTTTACAGAAGCTTTTTAATCTGACACATTCCATTTGCTGATTGTTTATGTCATTTCTTGTGGGATTCTGGTGAAAAGTATCTATGCCAAAGTTTTACATATTTTATCTTCCAACAGAGTGTTTCTGTTTTAATATTTAGGTCAGATGCATTGGGATTTTATTTTAGTACATGGTGATAGATACAGATCTAGACTCAGTCTTCTACCTGTGGACCACCAATTTTCCCAGCACCATTTGTTGAAGGGGCCATCTTTCCTCCAGGGTATGTATTTCCTCTTCTCGAATATCAGATGACTTGACTGTGACTGGAAATGTTTCAGCATCCTCTCCTCTACTGCACTGATCCATATATCTGTTTTTGTGCCAGTGCCATGCTATTTTTATAACTATAACTTTGAAATATAATTTGAAATCTGGGATTGTAATGCCTCCTGCTTTGATGTTATTGCTCAGGATTGTTTGGGCTAGTCTGGCTCCCTTTTGATTCCATAAGTTTTAGAATTGTTTTCTCTAGTTCTATGAAGAATGCTATAGGTGTTTTGGTTGGGATTGCCTTAAATCTATATATCAATTTTGGAAGTATGGCCTTTTTGACAATATCAGTTCTGCCTATCTAGGAACAAGATATCTTTCCATTTTCACAGTACTATAGTTTTTGTTACAAAGGTCTTTTACTCTCTTGGTTAGATTAACTTTTAAGTATTTAATGCTTTTGAAGCTATAGAGACGGTATTATTTTTAAAATTTCTTTCTCAGTAAGTTTGTTATTATTGTACAAGAATGTCATTGATTTTTGTGTGCTGATTTTAGATCCTGCTATATTGCTGAACTTGAGTTTTAGTTTAGAGAGTCTTTTCATGGAATGTTTGCATCTTCTATATAAAACATGTCATCTGTGAAAAGTGATAGTTTTGTTTCCTCCTTTGCCTCTGTATTTTCCTCTACTAACCTCTGTCCAGTACTTTGCCAGAATGGCTGTAACCTAGGTGTCTCACTCTGTCCCTCTACCTGTGGGCCTTTCTAGTCTCCTTCCCTGGAGTATCACTTTCTAGCCCTCAGGGCTCTCTGTCCTCAGCTCTCTCCAAAAGGGGCTGTTGGGGGCACCCCTGTAGTGCTTGCTGGTGGGTATGAACAGCCCACAGGATGTTCCTAATCACAGTACTCCCAGTATGTGGGGACAGGTGAGCAGGTAACTATTTCTGGATCCATCTAACTTCTTTTTCCCTATCCTGCTGTATCCAGGAGATGATCATGTATACAGCCCTGGGGCAGAAATTTCCTCAGTGCTGTGCTAAATTATTTTTCTATGATTGGAGTTTGTCTGTTTGTCCTTGTTGGTTTCATATTTTATGACATTTATATTTGTCATATCTAGTATGCCTATATCTTTCTACAATATTGGTACATCTAAACAAGCTTTTCAATTTTTTTTGATTGGTGTTTGTATAGTATCTCTCTATAATTTTATTTTCAGCTATATTTTGTACTTGAAATTTAAAGGTATTTTTTGTAAGAAGCATAAAGTAGGCATTTTAAAAATTAATTTTTGAGCCAGGTGTCATGGCACTTGCCTGTAATCTTGGCTACTTGGGAGGCTGAGGCATGAGGATTCCAAATTTAAGGCCAGCCTGAGCAATTTAGCAAGATCCTGCCTCAAGCTAAGATTTTAAATATGGTTGAGGATGTAGCTCCGTTGCAGAATATTTATCTGGCATGTGCAAAGCCATATGTTCAATCCCCAGGCCACAAAAAGCAAAGAAAAAGATTTGATCTTGGTAATGGTAGTTATTTTTATATGTAGATTTCTTGTATTTATCTTTAGCATAAAGACTAATAAATGTGAATTTTAAATTTATCTTATTGCTTTTTTGTATTTTAATATTTTTGCATTCACTTCTCTGTTATTCTTTTAAAGTAATAGAATTAAAATATTGTTTTTATTATTGTATTTTATTCTATTATTTTTCTTAACTTAGAAGAGCCTTAGACTTCCACAAAAGTATTTGCTACATGCTCTGGTTTGTATCTAGATGTCCCCAGGAGCCTCACCCCTCACTTCTCTTGGAAGAGGGGGCCATGGGGACTTGCTCTCCGCTGGGCCGGCTGAGGGGCGCACTGGGGCTGTACGTGAGAGTAAATCTCCCTCCCTGGCTGCTTTCTCTTTCTGCTTCCTGACAGGGTAAGGGGAGCAGCCCTTCCTCTGATACCTCCCTCTGCCACGCTTCATCTTCAGAGCCAGAACTGAGCTTTTCTTGCTCCCCACTTTCTTCCCTGCAGGGCAAATCTCTAAAACCTGGGCCAGAACAAATCTTTCCTCCTTTAAGTTGTGAGTGTTGGGTATTGTGTCTCAGGGATGAGAAAGTGTGAGTAGGGTACAAAGATAGGACAGATCATTCTCGTACGCATCCGCCTCCCCGTATTACTATCACTTACCTTACTATGGTACCTTTGTTACCTTGAATGATTATAATTAACTGAAGTTGAAATACATTGCAATTTGTTTTACTTCTACCTAATGTAAGCTTCCTATTCAGATATCACTTTAGGTGTACTAAGCAAGATTACTTGGGCTTAGTTTAATTGTAGCAGTTTCTAAGACTGTTGCAGTTTTCTTGATGACTTTGACAGTTTCATAGAATACTAGTCAGCTGTTTGATAGAATGTCCCTCAATTGGAGCTGATATTTTCCTCATGATTTGACTGGAGATATCTGCTGCAGAATGGAGGAATACAGAGGTAAAGTCCATTTTCATATCATATTATTGCATATACTATATCAGTATTACTCACAACAGTGATAACTATTTCAACCTTATTATGAACCTGAGTTGATGTTGGCTTTTTCTACTGTAAAGTTATGTTCCATTCCTTTGTCTCAATTCATTGTATCAAATTACTATGTTATTTTGTAAAAGGTTGCCTGTCTGTTAATATTTTCCTCCTTTTATTTTTAAAATAAAAAAAAAAGAAATTGTAAAACAGAAAAAAAGAAAACTAAATTCCTATGTACAGCACACACTGAAAGAGTGGGGCACTACATTCTCTTTTTAGGCTGAAGTACCTACATAACTCATTTAGAAGTGTTTTACAGGATGGGTTTGGCTCTTTTCCCTTACTTCATTTCAATTTTTACTTGCATGTATAGACTCATAGACATTTACTTTCATACTTTGAGTTATAATCCAATATTACTATGTTCATTTTGCTGCTCAAATTGTCCTAGCTATGGTGAATCTTTTTTGTAAATAATTTTATTAATCTTCTAGAAATTAGCTAATGATTATAATATGAATTTTTAATTTGACAATTTGGAGTATGGTTTATTTTGTAACTAAACAGTTTTGACATATATGTAACTGAAAGGGAAAGTACAAAGTATGATAAATTACTATAATAGATAAGTACAACAATTTTTTTAAGCATGACTACATGAATTCTTAATTTATTACACTCTTCTATAAAATCTTAATTTTACAACTTTTTAAATATTCTAAAATTTTATACCTTTTAAAGTCTAAACTCCTTTCCACTTTTAATTTTTTGGTATGTATTTTATTTCTACATACATTTTAAACTCAAGAAGATACTAGAATCACTGCTTTATTGAGTCAGTATTCATTTATACATTCATATGTAAAGGCTTACCAAAACACAGAGTGTGTGTTTAGTAGGAAGAAATGATTACAGTGAAGACATACTGCCACTGGTCCTTTTCAAAATACTCCCCTCGGTTTGAAACCCACTTATCCCATCATTATTGCCATTTTCTCAGGCAGTTCTAGATATCACCTATTGTGAATGTCTTTTTATGGTTACCTCAACTTCCTATGTTGATTCAAAACACTTAGGGAAATTTTATTCAAATGAAAACACTATGGCATGTCCTCCTCCACCTTACTCACAAGGTTTGGCATGGTGTGACTTCCGGTTCTTCTCTGAAGTCAAAATGACCATCAAAGGTGAATGTTTTGAATTGATGCACAACATGGGAGCAGCCACACAAAGACCCTCCTGAAAGAGAAAATCAATCACAGAAAAGTACAGGAAATTTGTAAATACCGAGAAACTTTTTTAAATTTTTATTTTTTGTTTTTGTTTTTTTTTTTTGGTACCAGGAATCGAACTCACGACCTTGCGCTTGCCAGGCAGGCACTATGCCACTAAGCTAAATCCCCAGCCCCAACACCTAGAAACTTAATCCCACACTCCCACACAACACCCAGTGAGTCACCAAAACATACAGCAGAACTCTTCAACAACATCCAACAATTAGTGATAAAATCTATAAAGAAAATAGGTATAGCTCGGCATGGTGCCACATGCCTGTAATCCCAGCACTTGGTAGGCTGAGGCAGGAGGATCGTTGCAAGTTCAAGACCAGCCTGGGCTACAAAGTGAGCTGAGGGCCAGCGTGAACTGCATAGTGAGACCCTGTCTCAAAAAGACAAAAAAAAAAAAAAAAAAAGAAAAAAAGAAAGAAAGAAAGAAAGAAAGAAAGAAAGAAAGAAAGAAAGAAAAGAAGTATAGAAAGATTTTACTTTGATCTGATAAAAGGCCATTTATGACAAACCAACAGCCAGCATCGTAATAAGTGGAAAAAAACTACTGAAAACTTTTCCTCCAAAATCAGAAAAAAGACAAGATGCCCACTATCACCACTCTTGTTCAGCTTAGTACTTGAAACATTAGCTAGTGCAATCAAGCAAGAAAAAGAAAAGGAATTTGCACAGGAAAGGAAGAAGTCTATCATTATTTGCAGATGGCATGATTCTGCCTATAGAAGACTCAAAAAACTCCACAAAAGGACTCCTACAATTAATAATCAAATTCAGTAATGTAACAGTACACAAAATCAACACAAAAAATCAATAGTTTTCTTATATACCAATAATTAATTTGCTGAGAAAAAATAGAAAAGTAATACTATGTACAATAGCATCAAGAAAAATTAAATACTTAGGAATTAGCATGACCAAGGAAGTGAAAACCTCTACAGTGAAATGCTAAAAAAGGAGCTCAAAAAGGAAAATTGAAAATGAGGAGATATCTCTTGTTTCTGGATAAGCAGAACAGACATCAAAATGGCCATACTTCCAAAACTGATGTATAGATTTAATGCATTCCCAATCAAAATAACTACTGCATTCCTCACAGAACTAGAAAAAATTGTAAAATTCATATGGAACCAGCAGAGAGACACAACAGTGAAAGCAATCTTGGGCATCAAGGGCAAAGTAGAAGGCACAATACCTGACTTCAAGATATAACTCAAGACTATAGTGATTTAAAAAAAAAAAACAAAACAGCATGATATTGGCACAAGAACAGAAATGTGGATCAGTGGAACAGAAACAAGAATGAAGAAATAATCCTAGACACATTTAGCTATTTGATCTTTGACAAAGGGGCCAAAAACATATGCTGAAGGGAACAAAACTTCTTCAGCAAATGATGTTGGAAAAACTGGTTGTCCACATGGACATATAGGTCTGTATTTGATAGACATATATGTCTATCAGCATTTACTAAAATAAAATCAAAGTGCATGAAATATACAAATATTAAAACTGAAACACTTAAGCTCCTGGAAGATAAAAAATGGTAAAACTCTTGAAGTCATAAGTGTAGCCAGTGACTTTCAGAACAGAACTCCAATTGTAAAAGCAGTATCAAGAGAAGCCAATAAATCTGATTAGATAAAATTGAAAAGCTTATGCACAGCAAAGGAAACAAGCAAGATAGTGAAGAGACATCCTATAAAATGGGAAAAACTTTTCCTAGCTACTATTCTGACAGAGGATTACTACATAGAATGTACAAAAAACTCAAACCAACTAGGCCTCCAAAAATAAAAGAATAATCATAAGATGGGCAAGTGAAATAGATTCTTCTTAGAAGAAGAAATACAAATAGCCAGTAAATATATGAAAAAATGTTCACCTTTGATTGCTATTAGAGAAATGCAAGTTAAACAACACTAAGATTTCATGTTACTCCAGATAAGTGGCAATCATCAAGCAATCATACAATAATTGCTATAGTTCTGTGTGGATATGGTGGGACAGGGACTAATCTACATTGCTGGTGGGAAAGTACACTGGTACATCCACTATAGAGATCAGTATGAATATTCCTGGAAAACCAGAAATTCCGTTTAAGAACTTCCATGCACAATCATGCCAAAATATAGTAACCTTTTGAATTGTTAAGATGTTCCACGCCTTTTGCATAAGTGATTTTAAAAATACAATCTACTAGGGAATATTTAAACATTTAATGCAAAGGAGGAAATGAACCTGAGGAAATGTTGTTGAATATGTTGAAGATAGTATGACAGTTTCTTTGGATGTCATTCATGCTGTGTTGGGTGCACATGTCTGATCTTGTATCTACGTTGGACTCTTGTTATACTCATGTCACAGTGGAGAGAGTTCACTGTTGTGACCAGCAGTTTCTAACATCATAGCTAAGGTTACCATTGTTCTCCCAAGTACCCCTGAGGAACATTTCATTTAATTTACTTTGATAGCTGTTTGACATTTTTGTGTATATGTGAATTCTACAAACTACATGTATTGATCCTCTGTGAGAGGTACTATACTACAAGCTAGCTATTAAAAGATGAAAAATTAAAGTATTTTCCTCAAATAGTTCAATGTTTTGGAGAGCATATAGGACTGACCACGTAATTATAGGTTTTTAAAAAATATTGTCCAAAAGAATATAACCTCACCTGAATTGTAGACATGAGAACATGTCTATAAAAAGCCACATCACTGGCAAAGGTGGGAGAGCAGTCTTTGGAGAGTCACTGAGATGCTGTTTGAAGAAGGGTAAGGATTGGTTAGATTAAGTGCAAGCGGGGGATGGGTATGATGGCTTACGGCAGAGTAACACATGAAAAAGTGCATGCGCAAGAGTGCTTTGGGGAAAGTCTGAGTGGAAACGTGTATTTGATAGAAGCAACTTGATAAAAAACCTAACACTCCCCTAAGGAGCTATGATTTGTGTTGAAGTTAATAGAGAACTATAGACTATTTTAATATTTTATTTTATTTCATGTGTAATACTGTAAATTAAATCTAAAGCTTTCCCACTGAGCTAGTGCCATGGTCCTTATTTATGTATTTATTTATGTATTATTTTGTGATAGAGTCTTGCTAAGTCACTAAGTTGCCAAGGCTAGGCTCAAACCTGTGATCCTCCTGTCTCAGCCTTCCAGAATGCTGGGATAGGGGTGTGTGGCATCATGGCTGGCTATCTTTTTCATATTAATCAATTCAAAATCAGTCACAGAAAACCATAATAACTGACTTTAAAGTCTAAAGCCTTAACACCGTACAATTATAACTTTATTTTATATGCGGATAACATCTTTTGATCCCATCCATACCTTCATAGCTTCTTTTATGCCTCCTCCCAAGTTGTAACTTTCTATTAGTATAAACAACTGATGGCAAACTTTTAGAGACCAAGTGCCCAATCCATAACCCAAATCCCACTTATTTATCATAAAGTGCCAACACTGCAATTAAACTTGAATATTGAGGTTTTAGTTAAAAAAAAAAACAACCCATACATTAATATCTTTCATCTTAAAAGAAAAACATGATAACAGTTTTCAAAGATATAAACAGCTTTTTATTGAAAGGTAAGTTTGTGTTTGGTCTGCTTTTGAACAATTAATGCAAATTTTGCTATTGTGTGCATGCTGATAATGTGTCAAGCCTTGACTCACACATTGTTACTTTGAGAACAACCCCTGCAGCACTGAGGGCATCTATTAGTCTGTGTCTTGTATCAGATTTGATACAATTCTGAGCTGAAAACAGCTGCACACAAGCAGAAGAGGATCCAAACAAAGCAAGAAAAGCAATCTCAAGTGCCTGCATTGACTTAAAATTATGTGGCAGAGAATGCTGCACCTTAAGGATTTCATTTTCAGAACTTCCAATGGTGCTGTCCTTTGTCATCCCTTCATACACTATCTTTTCTATCTTCTTTTTTTTTTTTTCTTTTTTTTTTTTTCCAGTACCGGGAACCTAACTCATGACCTTGCGCTTGCCAGGCAGGTGCTGTACCGCTGAGCTAAATCCCCAGCCCCAAAATGAAATTTTTGTTTGTTTGTTTGGTTTTTGGTTTTTGGTTTTTTTCTGGTACTGGGAATCAAACACACGACCTTGCGCTTGCCAGGCAGGTGCTGTGCCGCTGAGCTAAATCCCCAGCCCCCTTTCCTATTTTCTTAAGTGTTGCACACGGGTAATAGAATTTATTTTTCTAGATGAAGCTTTCTCAAAATTCCAAAAGCTCCATTACCAGATTTCCAAAAATCTATCCACTGTAAATAAGAAAGATAGAGTTCTTCAAATTTGGCTTTATGTGGAAAAGCAAGAAAACATAAAGTTGTCTTCATCTTATGGAACAGATTTAGTAAAAATCTGTTACTGAAATTCTCCTTTGGAACTGCTACAATGCTAGAAAATTCCTTGTAGGTTTCTTTGTATGATAGGATTGCCTGCAAATGTCGTAGAATTTTCTAAATGCGTTGTTAGATTTGGAAGTCATTTGGGCTGCTCACTTTCAAGGTCTTTTTCAAAAACTTGCACTTTTCTCTCAAACGTTTTGATATCACAAAACATCCTTTTTGCTGTTTTCACTACACCATTAAGTTTTTTTTCAGTACATGAAGTATGGTGTAAAATCTAAAACATGTGAGGTTGTTAAACCAGGCCATGTCCATGAGCTGTGGATATTCCTGTCCTTTTTCATTCATTAACAGCCTAATTTCATCCAAGCAGACTACAGATCTCTCCAGGACTCATCCTCTGCTCAGCCACCTGACATTATTGTACATAAGTAAAGCATTACACTGTGCTTGAACCTATCATAAAGCACTTAAAAATTGTCAAAAATTAAGAACATGAGCCATGCTGTAATTCACCATTTTGGTGACATCTTTAATGATACTATCTAATTTTTGTGGCTTTCACTAGCACAAAGAGTGTCTTGAT